AGTGTGTAATTCATATTTTCTGAGCGTAGAAAAGTATTCAGATAGGGTATTTTGCAGGGTGATAGCCTTCAAATCCTATGGGAATGGTTTAGATATAAAGTAAGGAGGAGATATTTTATTATGACAGCTGTCTCTTTTGTGAAGCCTTTATGTAACGTCAGTATCCTATTTCGTGCTGACCTTGTGAATAACACAGCAGCTCATGGCTTTAACACTATGTCAGTTTTTCAGAATTAAGATTCCCACTCTAAAGGGTGATGTAACAAATTGCTTCTTCTTGTGCTATTTGAGTAAGATTATGGTCTTCAATTACAGACTTAGAAAAAATTTTAAAAATTTGTTTTGAATGTTACAAGTTTACAACCATGTTAGAAACTCACAAAATGTGTATCACCCTAGGGAACCAAACTCACCAATGAAGAAAAAAAATCTTTACTGAGATAAATTAACACTTAGCATCAGAAATAAACCCACATAATTCATAAATGTTTGTAATTTTGCCCCTCTGTGTAGTGTGGCCTGTTTATCCATGATCCATGCCCAGAATCTAGAATCCCATGCTGGAGAAGTCCCAGGTGGGTGCCCAGGTGCTTCCCTTTGTCTGCAGATGGTCACACAATTGCCAAGAGAAGCTTTACAGACAATATCCCAGCTAGCAGCTTTGCGAGCCCTCCCTGCACACCACCCCCACAAAAAGTAGGTGATAGGGAGGAGATCAGCAAGTGTCTGGCAACATGAACTTGAACTTGTTTCACAAAATAAAGAAGAGGGAGAAACGAAAAGGAAAGAAAGGAATAGTTTCCTGCATTTTTTAAAGATTTTAGAGAGAGAGAGAGCATGAGCTGGGGGAGAGGCAGATGGAGGAGGAGAGGCAGACTCTCCACTGAACGGGGACACTGTGATCATGATCTTAGCCAAAGGCAGATGCTTAGCAGACTGAGCCCCCCAGGTGCCCCTGCTGTATGGCTTTTAAAGATCAGCAAAGAAGAAAAAATACATAGCTTTCCTTATTAATCCAGCTCAGAGTTTTCTAGGTTCATTGTACCATGGAATAAAGTTGTCGAGACCCACAGTGCATGTCTGAAACTTTAGTCCCTGTGTTTCCAAATTCAGAAATGTGTAGGTTTTAGACAGGTGATCTGGGGAAGTCCTGCACACCGTGTCGGGGTCTGGGATGGCACCTGGAGCCCCATCTCTTACTGTGCCTGCATCAGAACTTGGATGGATAATCGCACCAAGTAGAACAGAGAAAGGTCAGACATTGCCTCATGTGAAAAGTTTACGTTTGCCACCAAGTGGGTTAAGAAATGTTTCTTAGAGCTTTTCAGTTTGGGAATTGTGGATCACGAGGAACTGTAATACTCTTTTACTTATGAAATCCATCTTGCTGGGGAACTTGACTTTCATGATGGGCTCATAAAACATGGAGGCATTAGTGTGACGCTAGCATCGTGTTGCCTTTTCTGAATTTCAGGGAAGTGCTCCCTGCTATCCTGGTTTGACATTCTGGATTTAGTGCCCTTTAGTGTTTGAGAATTGTGTGTGTCAGAAACCCTGCAGGATTCTGCTGCGCTAAACATGTTCTCTTCGCCCCAGATTTGTCCCGCAAATTATGCATGTCTCGTTTAACCCAAGGAGAATCTCCTGAAAAAGCATTTCCTCATTTTTTGAAAGAAAACAAAACTGTGTAGATTTTGCTAATTTTGCTCTGCAACTTGATTTTTGCTTCCTTGGCTTTATGGTGTCTTAGTTAAATTTGTCGTTGCTGTTATTCGCGGCAAATTCCCCGTTTGATGTTTCCTATCTTAGAAAGTTTTCTTAGTAGATCATTCAAACTTCCTATGTTTGATGACCAGTGTAAGTGGTAGAAGAGAGACACATTGTCTCAAAAACCCCTAAACCAAAGACTGGCGCAGGATCGGGAGTCCACTTTTTTGCTGGTAACGTTAATAACTAGCTAAAAGTTTCTAATAGAAGCTGGTTAATGGGGGCACCTGCGCAGCTCAGTTGGTTAAGCCTCTGCCTTCAGCTCAGGTCATGATTCCAGGGTCCTGGGATCGAGCACCACATCGGGCTCCCTGCTCAGTAGGGAGTCTGCTTCTCCCTCTCCCTCTGCCTGCCCCTCTGCCTGCTTGTACTTACCCCCACCCCATCAATAAATAAAATCTTAAAAAAAAAAATCTGGTTAATGTTGAAAATAAAAAAAAATTCTGTTTTAATCTCGGTTTAGCAAATGACTCTAAGTTAGCATTTATCTTCCAAGTTAGCATTTATCAGGTGCACTGAACTCTGGGGGAAACGTCCAAGTAAGTAGAAGACCCTGAGAGAGGAAGCTGAGAACTTCTAGCATATTCATTAGGTTTTAGCTTCTCACGCCTCTGGAAATGGCAGCCAGGTCTCCCATCAGGGCAACTGTGTGATAACGCGGCCACAGAGCAGGGCCAGATCATTCCATGGGGCTGACCCCCTCTAAGTTAGTGCAGATGTTTACAGACAGCAGAAAGGCAAATAGAACATTTCTACATAGTTGTCCTCTGGGAAGGATTAAGAGTCATGGATCCCTTCCAGAATGTAATGGATTTGGACGGGCTTCACGCCTTAGTGATTTCTCGTTCTATTTGTCTGTGTAACCTTGCCCTGGGGGAGAGCTGGGGAAGCCACTGCAGGCTCCAGCGAGGAAGTCAAGCCTGTGATTGTCATCGGGGAAACTTGTTTGCCAACAAACTAGTGCTTGGTGGGTAAGACAATCCCTTCCTCCTCGAGCTCCTTCCTTCTCCAAATATACTCTAAATGGGATGAGTGTGAGTAAACCCAAACTTCAGCTTCAGCTTTGCTGCTTCTCCCACTGCTTCAGCCAGTAAAATTCATCCCCGAAGAGTGCTTTTCCGATATTTACAGCGACTCAAATCCCTTCTCAGGGTGCTTGTCGTTAAACAGGGGAGAAGAAAGACCCAGAGATTCATCATTGTGGGCTCTCCAGAATTTGGCGAACTGAGTATTTGCTTACACTATGCCTTTAAAGCGTGTGAGTAAAAATTCCAAACCCTGCTTGGGAATTGAACAACCCCGAACATGGGGAGCTTCGCTGTTTGAAATCCTCCAGTGGCTGACCATAGCCTACTGGGTGCGTTTGAACTCCCTGAGCCTGGTTTGAAAGGTCCTCACAGTTCCATGCCTCATCTGCCTTTCAGTTGGCCTTTTCTCCCCTCGGCTCTACCCCTCCCACAACTCCAATCCATCTTTCTGGCTCAGTGTACCTGCTGCCACACTCTGCTGCGCCCCATCGAGGAGAAAATTATATTCCTGTCCTTTTCTTCCTGCACACGCTGCCCCAAAGCTTGCTCTTCCCCAAGAGCCCAGGGTCTGTCTTTCCTCTGAGCTACTGAATTCGTTGTTTGAGTCAACGCGATGAGACGCTGCCCTGGCATTCAGTTATCTCTCTGTTTGCACGTCATGCCTTCCCGCTAACGCGTGAGCACCTCTCCGATGAGGACTGTGGTCTGTCATGTTCGCACCCCTACGCTACCATCCATAGAGCGGGGGCTCCCCAGCTACCTTCAGCTTCTTAATGATTGGTAAATCCTTGCCTTAACACCTAGGTGATAACAGTTGAAATACTTGGATTTATTGATTCAAACGGTAGCAAGCTGAGCCTTCTGGCGGGTTGGTTCTAAGCCAGGACTCACAACAGCGCCGACACCGTTTCTCACTCCACTTGGGAAACACCCTTTCTGAGAACGGCTGTGTCATCAGCCAACACCCGTGTGTCTCCTTGTGGCCATGTTGATGAACTCAGAGTGTTGGAGTGGTTTTGCCTCGTGCCACGTGGCATCCAGAGAAGAGCTGCTGATTCGTTGGCGAGGACGGCTTTTCCGGCCGGTGGGTGATCGTGGAGGGTGATCCGTGAGCAGCGTGGGTGTTGGTGTGTTTGCTGTCCAGATGTGGCAGGCGCTCCCCATCTGTGACTGTGCTGCTCCTTCCTTCATCTCTGCTCACCGAGCTCCTCTAATTCATTGCTCTTCTGATGTTATTGCCCAGCATCCCAGTGACTAAACTCTGCTTTGCTTTGTGTGAGGTGCACAAAAGTTAGAACCAAGGATCAAGGCGGGCTCCGTGGGGTGCGCGTCTGCTAGCCCTGCAGGGGCCATGAGATGCTTGCTGGATCTCTAAATACCAAAACCATCCCAAGCAGGAGGCCAGTGATTGCCTCTGGAGGTAAAGAGTGGGTACAAACAGCAAATGCACCAGCCCAGCAGGGCCAGAGGGCTGCTGAGTATGTGGAGAGGAGTCAAGGCTCTGAAGAGCCCTGGTTGAAACCCAGAGGAGTTTTTAGTATCCTTCAAACCTGTGAGTCTGTGGGGGAAAGTATCACTCAAACATGTGAGTCTGTGGGGAAAAGGATTTCTGGTGCCAGGACCTCCTACAAGGACCAGATAATCCCTTCCCGCTCTCAGAGTTATTTCCAGGCCTTGTCAAAAGTGAAAGTTATTTACTTGTCATATTTTGGACAACAGTTTTCAGCGTGTGGTCAGTCCAAGCAACGAAAACCAGCGTTGTGTGTCAGCAAGGGAAACAGCTCTCAAGGAGAAGCGGTCCATTTTCGGAGGCCCTTGAGCCCCTGACGGATCTCTGGGAGCTCCTCCTGAGAGCTTAAGGGACCCTGGTGACCCTTTTCCTCCCAAATTTGTGCAAACGGGGGCACTGGGTCTGTGTCCCTCTCTGTGTACCGGCCACCTGTGAGTGCTCTGCTCTGCCCTGTTCCATGCCCCAGAGGGGAGGGCCGCTGGGCTCTCCACCCTGTGTCCTCTTTCCTCTTTATTAAATAAACTGATTAAAAGGGAGCACCCCTTCCTCCCTCCCACTTTTCATTCAAAGGGAGCAGATGTGGGGTGTCTCCGCCAAGGCTCCTGGGTCAGGTCAGATCCCAGAGCACGGCGGCTTTCTCGGATGGAGGGCAAGCCATTCCTTGGCATTATCTCTGTCCTCTTTCTTTCTTCCAGCAATGAGGTGGTGAGGAGTGACTTGAAGAAGCTGCCAGCGCTTCCCACTCAAGCCCTAAAGGAGCACCCTTCCCTGGCCTACTGGTAAGCTGCGCCCTCTCCACACACCCCTCAGGAGTGAGCCCGCAGGGGGCTCGGGGTTGCCGAGGGTCAAGCTGGACCCCAGCCCAACTGACTCCATCTTGTCTGAGCTGCTTGAGCCCTGGTCAAACCATTTCCCGCACATATTTAGACGCCATGGTTTGCGTGAGACCTCCTTTTTCTATTTTCTTTAACAAGAGGAAAAAAAAAACCTTCTAAAATTTCACTTTGGATGGTTTGCCTCCTTGGAGACCCTTTCATGTGCTGCTCGAGTTTCGTTCTGGAATCCTTGTCATTTGATGACAGGATATGTGAGGTTTTGGGATGTGGAAGAACTATGGGTTTTTTTTTTTTCCTTCGCAGAAGAGAGAGATTGATTCTTTGATATTTCCCACAGTGTTTCACATCTCCTCATTTGGCTGCCATGTAGCATTATGCCCAAGTTCATCTGTCAGGCCCCGAATTACTGATTCTGACCAAAACGGGCATGCGAAAGGGTCGTGGCTTGCAGTTCTGGTCACAGTGGAGTGGGGCCTGCATTCTTGGGTGGTGTGTGCAAATAGTGCTGTGTGCACGGGCCCTGGCCATCGTCCCCTGACACCACCCAGAAGGCCCCGTCCCCATGTCCCTTCTGCCTCCCTCACAGCAAGCGTTGACTGCTTTTATAAACAATAACAGTAAAACAAAAATCACAAAACGGGTTAATCCCGATCAATTGTACCATGTGACTCTTCTAAGCACTTCTTTACTCTGCTTTACACAATGTATGGATTACTAACACGTCATCATGTGTGGATACGTTTGCAGTTGGCACGCTCATGGCTCAGCCATGCACGTGACTCTGAGAGACCCTTTGGCTGGGATGGGGCTAGCTTTGATGCAGAGGGTATTAGCCCAGTGAGACTCCAGTCCAGAAGTCGTTTCTCCTCAAGAGACCACAGGTTGGGTCAGTGGGAGCAGAAATGATGAAAACAACTCCTGGGGCAGGGAGCTCCCTCCAGGCTGCTGACATCTCCTCCTCCCCCAATCCCACCCCCACCCCCGCCAAACTCATCTCTCTGAGCTGGTTTTTGCCATTTGTCCTTTGCTAACATAGGTGTCGATATGTCATAGCTTTGTATAATGGTAATCTGCCCTCCAGAACAGAATCTGTCTAACCTGAGACTGTGCGTGTGTCTGCTCGCCTCCTTCCAGCCTGGCTGTCTGCATGTGGGAACACCAACAGATGACACTCCTGTTCCCTTATTCCTGGAGCCCTGCTGCCCTCTCCCGCTCCCCTGTGCTCCCTGGGCCTCATCTTCTCTGTCCCACCACCTTCCTCCCAGCTGTTCATGTTTAGGGAACTAGTAGTGAAAGAGCTAGATACAAGAATATGACTCTGAGACCAGTAGTTCCTCCACGAAGGAGATGTATTTGCCATCTGGGGGCTCTGAGGTTGCTGGGTTGTTTGGGGTCAAGGTCACTTTTAGCCTAAACCAGCCCTCAACCATATCCTCATTCAGTTGTTGCCGGACACTTTCTACACCCTGTGCTTACCTGCTCCTTCTCTCTCAATCTCCCTCTCTCTCCCTCCCTGTCTCCCTCTCTCTCCTCTTTTTCTGGATTTCTCTTTAATTATCTCTGCAGTCGGCTCCTTGCTCACACGTTATTACTATTACAGAAATGCCTTCCTTCATGTTCCTGTCTTCTCCTGTGTCAACACGAACATCTTTACCCACATCTGTACCTATCTTGCCAGAGCATTCCTCCGTCTCTCTGACCTGGTTGGCACCTTCCCTGGGCCTCATTTTAGACCCAGAGACACCCAGCCACTGTGTACACATCACAGAGAGGATGCAGAAATGGGGAGGGGGGCCATTTTTGAAGCGGGTGCCCCCAGGCTCCACAGCCCAGCTACATACAGGCAGTGTGGACCTTCCCGTTGATTCCTTGCTAAAAAACACCTTATTTCACTGTGGTTGGCTAGTCGTAGTTTGCTTTCGTATTCCAACTTACTTATTTGGGTTTTTAGAAAAGCAGAGATTTCAGGAAGAGATAATGATGTTCATGGTTCATAGAGCTGGCAGCCAAACATGTTCAAAGACGTCCCTCAGTCCCAGCTCATGCGTCTCAGTGATTAACATGACCCCTTGTTAGTGGAGCAGACCCTCACTCGCCCTGGCATCACAGTCTCTACCCAGCTGCCTGCAGCCCTGATCATCCCCTAAAGGAGGACACAGATCTGCAGTTCTTCCAGGTCTCCTGCTCTTGCTGGCCTTCTCGGATGTGGCAGACTACCGTTAGGCCGGAATAAGCCGTAGGGCGCCCATGCTCACTAGTGACAGCCTCCAGAGCGAGGCAGTGGGTTTGAGAATCCCAGCCACGTTTCTGAACGGTGGGGTAATGACAGCTCAGGGAGGCTTGAATTATTTCCCTGCTGCCTCAATTTCCCATCTATAAAACAATTAACCCTACCAACCCAATCCAGACTGTGATTAAGAGCAGAAGTAAGAAGTCACTTGACACAATTAACAAATAGTGAAAGGTACATAGCAATGCTGAGTAACTATGAAGTAATCCTTTCTGCTAATTTTCCCCAAGCGTGTAACAAGCTTGGACTTCCACTCCACGGGACTTCCCAATCGGGAGACATCTGAGGCAGAGGTTAGAAATATGTGCCCAGGGCCATGGAACAGAGCAGTATGAGGGCTCTGACCCGGATTCTCTCCGGGGCCGAGCTGGCAAATGCTGGACGCCCCAGCCTCCACACCACACCAGAGCGGCTTTGCGGAGGCACCAGCCTTTACTCCAAAGTCACTGCCCACTGCGGGAGATGGCTCCTCCAAGATGGGAAACCGTATCATCATCCCCATGTTTCCTCTTAACCCCCCATGCATTTCCTGGGCTCCTTGCCTGCAGAGAGATGATCTCACTGAACGACTATGGCTATGGCGAGTCACAGTCAGCCTTAATCACCTGTCTTTTTCCTTCATGCACCACAGTATCCTCCAATTAGTGTTTTGGGATTCTATTTACTCTGGTTGGTGCATTTTTTTTTTTATAGTTTTTCCATGGAGCCCCTACCACAGCTCTGGGGTTGCTGGGAAACTTGGCAAATCGCGTGCACTGGAGCCATCTCGTAAATTCCAGAGGAAGAAGGGGCGGGGCTGGGGGCAGGGCGGGTTCACAGTTGGCGATGCGTGTGTAATCACAGCATGGGCCCACGCGTTTCAGTTGGGCCCAAAGAAGTGGGGAAAGCTGAGGAAGGAGAAGCTAGATATTGTGCCCTCACTGATGGCCTCTGGCAGCAGGAGACCCGGGGAGCCGTGGGGCTGGCAGAGCCCTGCAGCTGTTGGGCGCTGAGAAGACACTTAGTTGGGAAGCTGTGGAACAGCTGCTTGCAGGTGTTTTCTGACATTCATTGTACTGAGCCTCGCCTGTGTTCACAGCCACAGCACTACATTGATTTCGATCTCCCCAGCCCAGCCCCAGGGTCCTCCCTCCCAGAGCTCGGAAGGGAAGCGGCTCAGATCTACCCTGAGTTGCTTGAGCTTGGATCCAAGAGCTGACCTCACAGAATGCTAGATCCTGTCTGTGGTGGGAAACATGCCGCGGCAGTCGTTGATTCAGTGAGAGGGAACAAGCTAGGCGAGCAAGCCCCGGAATGTCTTGACATGACCCCGAAGGTCTGGTGGGGTGGGGTCCTCCCCGGGCAGGACGCTGCTGGAGAATTCTCTCAGGGGGGGCTTTCTCACACTCTGAGAAGAGCATCCAGGGTTGCCCGGCAGCCGAGGAGAAACAGAGCTGCCTCTGCACCTTCCTGAAGAGAAGGTGTCCAGAGCCCATCCGAGTGACTCTCCAACGAGAGCAGGGCTCCTGTAGCGTGCCAGTTCCTCTTCTGGGTGTTTGTAAGGACACTCGCTTGTGACAAGTCAGATGATCAAAAATACACACACAGATTTCAGAGTGCTAAAATGAAGAGACAGCCATTAAAGATTAAGATAATAACTGGAGGGGCACCTGGGTGGCTCAGTGGGTTAAAAAAGCCTCTGCCTTCGGCTCAGGTCATGATCCCAGGATCCTGGGATTGAGCCCCGCATCGGGCTCTCTGCTCAGTGGGGAGCCTGCTTCCTCCTCTCTCTCTCTCTCTGCCTGCCTTTCTGCCTACTTGTGGTCTGTCAAATAAATAACTAAAAATCTTTAAAAAAAAAAAAAAGATAATAACTGGAAAATCAGTAAATGACCCCCAAGTAGTAGTAGTTAGTAAACATATAGGACACGTTACCCCCAAGAAATGGCCTTTCTTTTTTCCTTTATTTTTCTTAAATATTTTAAGATTTTATTTATTTATTTGAGAGAGAGAGAAAGAGTGAGAGAGAGCATGAGATGGGAGAAGGTCAGAGGGAGAAGCAGACTCCCCACAGAGCTGGGAGCCCAATGTGGGACTCAATCCCGGTACTCCGGGATCATGACCTGAGCTGAAGGCAGTTGCTTAACCAACTGAGCCACCCAGGCGTCCTCTTTTCTCCTTTAAAAAAAAAAAATGGTTGTCAGGAAAAGCTTTCGATCAGCTCTGGGATACTAAATAAGAGATGATGAAGGCCAACCAGCGAGGTCTCTGGGGTTCTTCCCTAGAGCTGCGTCCTGTCCTAGAGGTCTGGGCCTGAGGTGAGGGAGGCGTAAGACAGAAGGTGGAGAAATGGGGCTCCAGGTGGTATGGCCAGGTCACAGAGGCCCAGTCTTTTGAACTTGACTCTCCAGCAGGTGGGATGTGCTTCCCCTGTGACTCCCCAGGTTGGTTCTGTGCTTCCAAAGACAGCAGCCATAGCCCCCTGGGCACCAGAGTCACTTCCCAGAGTTCCTTCATGCCCTCTGCCCTGTCAAAGAACGGTTTGGCTGGCCAGTGTCTCCTAAGGCACGAGCTGGTCTCTTGTTGTTTTAGAAGGAAGACTTCAGGAGATCAAGGAGTTCCCAGTTCACTTCTGGTAGCTGGCTTGTTTCCCAGTACTTCTCTGGGCTTTTGTCTCATGGTTTGTGTTAGCCAGGCCTAGATTCCAGAACTTTCCCATCCTCCTTGGAAGCCCTCAGCCCTGACCACTGATTCATGATAGGGAAGCCATGGGCATTCTGTTGAAGTCAACATCTGTGCAGGCCATGTGCACACAGGATTTGGGCGGTGAGGAGGACCATGAAGACATGTGGGCATTTAGCCAGAGCCTCCCCGCCCCGATCCCCCGCCAGCCGGTCTCCCTCCTGTCCCCAGTCTGTGCCCCTCTCCAGTGACACGCATGCTCACTGTTGCTTCCTCACCTTCCATGGTAGCATTTCTTGCAGGGAGCTGACCCCAAGGGAACCTGTAGCCCGAGGCACCTCACAGGTTGAGTTCAGAAATGCCAAGCAGGGCAAATCATTTCTCCAGGAGCTGTTGGCTCCTTGGAGCTTCTCTTGAGATGGCTCAGGCTCGGAAGAAGTATCTCTTTTAGCAGGGTGCTGGCCGGGGACCTAGGGACAATATATAACAAGAGTGTTTGTCTTATAATTCTAGTGAGGATCGAGTAATTGAACACTACAAGAAACTGAATGGCCAGACCAGAGGTCAAGCAATTGTAAAGTAAGTGGCCCGTCCCAGTGCCCGTGAGGTTGTGTCTGTGTGTGTTCACATAGTATGTGTCACTGCTGTTTAGTTCTGCTCGCAAAGACCAATCTTGGGGCGGGGGTGATGGTCCAGGGTCGTTCTCAAGTAAATCTTCACTCTGAGAGTTTTGTCACACGCACACACACGTATATGGTTCCAGTTCTGCCGAATAACCACGCTCGTGTGTGTGTCTCTGTCTCTCTTCGCAGCTACATGAGCATCGTGGAGTCTCTCCCGACCTACGGCGTTCACTATTACGCAGTGAAGGTAAGTGCCAAGACTGCCCTCCCCAAAAATACAAGCCCCTCTCACTTTTTTCCTTTTTAATCTTACTGAAGATGTGGTGGGGGGCTGGGGGTGGTGTGTGGTGGAAGCCTAGGTCAGGATGGTTATGTGCTGGGGGAGTCCTCCATGTAGGAAGTCCTCCATGTAGGAAGAATTGATGCAATTTCTCTTCAAAACTCATGTTACCTCCTGTAAAGTGGGTATAATCAATTGCCACTACCTTTTATACTTAGAAGAACCCTGGGAGGTCGGGACTTCAGAGCTGGGACGATTCCATGTAAAGGCAACGCACTGTAGGGAATAAAAACGTTAGGCAGGGTCCGCAGTGTTTTTCTTGGTGGTCAGATGCCACATAGGCAATTTTGGAGGAGGGCTGGCATGAGAGGCTGACAGAGCGAGTACATGGCTATTTAAGAAGACAGATCTTGTTGTCTTAAATGTTGTGAAGTCCAGTGGAACATGGACCCTCTTCCAAACTCGCTTTAATTTTATCCATAATGCCTCTGCCTGGGATCCCTTCCCTGAACTCAGATAACAAGGTGCTGGTGGGCCTTATCGATGATGAGAAAGGATCGTTTTCCTCCCTTCACTTACCCCACCATGAAAAAGTGTAAGTCCCGGCCCAAGTCCAGCCAAAAGAAGGGACAGCACTCCTGAATGCAAGACACTTCCCCCAGCCAACCTGAGATTCTCTTGCTCATTGGCCAGTTTCTTTCCCCATGTTTCTATCCAGCTGTATTTTTCATTCCTTTGGGCCAGAACGTGTTCTGTGTTTCACGTATCGTTGCGTCACTCATGGCAGCCCACACAGCACTTTGCGGGTCCTTGGTACATATTCAAATGCCTGTATCTCCCACCAACCTGCAGCCTTCTGGTGGCCCAGACTGTGTGTCGCCTTCTGTTCCATGTTGCTGGAACCCGCTGTAGTGCCTGACACGTCGTAGACGCTCAGTTAGGTATTTACCGAGCAATTGTTTATTGAGAGTTGAACCAGGTGGTTGAAGGTACACTCCCGCGACGGAAACAAATGTCAGAACTCGACTCATGGAGCCCAGTTATGAGGCAGACGCTGGGACACCCATTGTGTTACAAGAGGCCTTTCACAGAAGTCAGTCAGCGAGTCTGTCTCTCAGGGGCATGTGTGGCAAACGGATCTGCTTTCTAGAGAGCAAAGGAGGAATGGCCTGGACTAGGTTCTCTCCTTCACCGTTTGATCGTCATTTGATCTCACCTCCGTCGCTCAGACTTAGAGAGAGATTATGAGATTTGCCTCTCCAACTTCCCCCACCAGAGTTTCCTAGATGCTGGAGGACAGTCCGGGTGGGTGTTAGACTGTAGACAGAGTGAAAATCTTTGAGCAGAGACGCCATCCGGTCTATTACTTGCGTAAACCTGTGTCCCTTCTCTTTGTCAGCCCCGGAACCTGACAGAAAGATAGCTTCTGATGTATATGCTCTCTGCCTTACAATAAAACTTGAGAAACAGGCTCTTTTGCAGTCTGTGAGAGCAGAAGCAGACCCTGTGATGGTCAGAGCACCAGAAGCGCATGCGTGTTTGGCTCGGAATCCTCAGGCTTCCACAACTGCACTCCTACTTACTGGGAGAAAGAGCACAGGAGTCCAAGCAAGCCCGCACCCGCCGTCTCCAGCCTCGCCAGTCAGAGGCCTTGTGATTTCACAGAGGCTGTGTTCTGTGGCATGGTGACCGCCCGCACCTGTCCCCCCAGAGCCGCGGTGGCCTTGAATCCCTGCCTTGGGCTGCTCTCCGGAACTGTTTCAGGACACACAGACACTTTCCAGAGACAGACGTTTTATACCTTTAAAAAAAATTTGTAGGAAATCCTATAGCCTAAAACTTTTCTGAAAATTCCAAATGTATTTCCTTGCCCTTTCTTTTCTTTGTGCCTACCTTGAGATAACTTGTGAGTATTTGCAAAGCATGAATCCAATTTTGAGTTGTTAAGACATCTTCAGTGGGGTGACCTAAGTTATTTAAGGGTGTGGCAATTAGGACAAATGTAGGGGAAGGCTGCTTCCTATGCCCACTGGGCTCCTAGTTTGTGGGAGCTCTAATTAACATCTCAGAGTCTTCCCGACCTGAATGTAGGATCCCAGTTTATAACCTGGTGGCAAGAGGTCTCTGTTAGAAGAATAAAGAGAGGGACTTGGTGTTTCTAACTCGGGTCTCGGAAGGTCTAGGCTTGGATTTTGTTACTTTTGTCTGACAGCATGAGTCCCTCAGTCCAGCGGATCTCTTAAGGTAAGCAGGAAGGACCACATGGTGGTCTCTGCCATTGGCCTGCTGGAGGGATAGCATGGGTCCTGAGTAGAGCAGGGTAAACCCTTTACTTTGACTTTTTTTTTTAAAGATCTTATTTATTTATTTTTGCGAGAGAGAAAGAGAGAGAGAACGTGTGTATAAGCTCAAGCAGAAGTGGTGGGGGGGGGGCGGGGCAGAGGGAGAAACAGACTCCCTGCTGAGCCAGGGAGCCTAACTCAGAACCTATCCCAGGACCCTGGGATCATGACTTGAGCCGAAGGCAGACGCTTAACCCACTGAGTAACCCAGATGCCCCTGCTTTGACTTTTATGTCTTTAAAACTGGAGGAATCTTAAATGCATATCATCGAGTGAAAGAAGCCAAGGTGGAAAGGGTACATACTGTATGATTCCAAGGAGTGGAATGGTTCTGCCAGAACCTGGGAGGGGGGAGAAGAAGGGGCAAACAGGCAGAACACAAGATTTTTAGGGCAGCGAAGCTCCTCCACATGGTATTATAATGACAGGTAGACCTCATTATGCATTTGTCCAAACTCACGGAGGATTCAACACCAAGAATGAACCCTAATGTGAACTCTGGACTTCGGATGACCATGATGTATCAATGTAGGTTCATCAGGTTATAACAGATGTTCCCCTCTGGTGGGGATGTTGATCCTGGGGGAGACCCTGCAGGTATGGGGGCAGGGGAGTGTGGGACATCTCTATACTTCCCTCTCCATTTTGCTGTGAACCTGGACCTCAGACTTCTCTTTAAAAAAAAAAAAAAAAAAGAATAAGGTCTTTAAAAAGGTTTTTAGAGGCGTTGCCTTCTTTACTGTCCCTTCCAGCTCTGATAGTCGACGACAGTTTTTCTGCTCAGGTCATTTTATTCGAATGCTCTCAGGTATTCTGTTTTGGTGAAACCTGGAGTCTTAGAAGGAGGACAAAGAACAAGGCATTTGTCACTTATTCATAAAGGGTGGGAGTGGGGAAGGACCATGGTGGGCTCCTGATTAGGAACAGAGCTGGGTCCCCACCCCAGGGCACCTTCCATGGCATCTTGTTCACATATCTGAGCATCAGTTGATGATGGGACACATCAGTTAAGGTGAAAAAGAGAGAGGTGGCCTCCATCCGTATCAAGGGATTTGCATTTTCCTGAGCCCGGAGGCCTTCCCTTGGTTTCCATGTGTGTTCTCCAGCCCTGTATTTACCCGTACTTTTTTCTGTGCCCTAGGACAAGCAGGGGATACCATGGTGGCTGGGACTGAGCTACAAAGGAATCTTCCAGTATGACTACCACGATAAAGTGAAGCCGCGGAAGGTAAGCGTGCTCTCCTCTGTGGGCGGATGGCTCGCGGAGAGAAGTGAGTAAAAATATGACACCGTGCAGCCTCGGGGCCTCCGGGCTCACCAATCCCCTGCAAATCTGAGTGTATACAGATTACTCCGCAGTCGTGCAGTCTGAGTTCCCGGGTAAATATTTTTTCTCCCGGTCACTAGGGAAACCTGAACTGTTATAATTATTTAAGGTAAGAAAACTGGCCCAGCTCTCCCAAAGGAGATGGGCAAAAGGGCTTTGAGGGACTGTCCTGTTCCTTCGTTTCCTGGCTGGGGAGGGTGGGGGCTCCGTGCACTTGGGAAAGGGAGGGAATATCTCTCTTCCGTCCTGAGGCCAATCTGAGCTTTCCCGAAGCTTGTCAGTGTGCTTCATTAGTTTTTGTTTGTTTTGGTTTTGGTGGCGGGGAGCTAAAAAAAGAAATTGTAGGTCAAAACAGAGTGAAAAATAAAGAAGAGTCAGGGGCATTTCTGCAAATCGGATAAATAGTTTATGGCATATTAGGAGTGATCAGAAATCTGGAAAAAATAAGGTCATTTGCCAAAAAAGAAAGGGAAGCAGAACCGCGTTTGCAAAGCCATCGTAAACGCAAAACAGAACATTTGAAGGGGACACAGTGCTTGACTTTTCTCTGTTTTCATTTACACACATTTTTCAGACCAGAACAAATTGAAAAATTATAATGGAAAAATGTCTCTGGGCTAGAGCTGTCATTCAGCTCCTCTGGCAGAGAATAATGGAGAGATGGTATGCAGTTCAAGCCCCGAAATACATATTAAAAGTCTATCAAAACCACACTTGCTGTAGGAGAGGGAAAGCAATATTGGTCCATTATGTCATTCCGGATCGCTTTCCAAGCTTCTTTATCCACGAACGGGATGGAAATCCATACTACATATCTGAGCTTATGGTAGGCTGTCTGCTTAGCATCTGCCTTAGCCAGCTGCTTTATTAAAATGATAGGGGGAGAAAATGCCCTTTGCTGGGGAGGATTTTCACTCTGTTGATCAGTAAGTCAGTTAAGTTCAAAGAAAAGATCCTGAGCAAGTGAAGGGGTTGTTCTCCCTTGGGAACAATTCACCTGGGCATCCAGGGACACCTGGTTCGGTGGCTAAATCCCAAACCTCTCCAGTTTTCTCTATATGCTGTAAGACCTGCACTGGGTCCTGTGTGATTTGGTTTCTCTGTGTTTTTCTCAGTTGCAGGGTCTGTGCTGCTTCCACACTGTCTCTTTCTTTCAGTTTCCCCTCTGCCTCTTTCCCACTTGGCCTTTGTAAGTTTCTGTGCTTTTTTTTTTTCCTTGCATGGTCTCTTCCCTCCCTCCTCCTTTGGACATCCACTCTCCTCTCTTTGAAACCTGGCTGACCTTTTTTCCTGCTTGCAAGAGCCAAGAACCCTCCTAGATCCTCTCGCAAAACCCTGGTCCCAATCCCTCCAGCTCCTGATTACCCACCCTGGTGGAGGACCAAGGCGGACGTGCATAGTTCCCAGTGAGCAGAGTTCTAATGCAGCGGTAGCATTCTGCTCTCCCTCTGGGGGTGGAAAAGACATGCTGACATGTATTCTTGGGCATTCAGTTTCATTTATTAATAAGTGTGAGCTAGTTTCATTTCTCTAATTGAGGCGCTAATGAAGATTGCAGAACTAATGAGATAGCACCCAATAGATGGGAAACGCAGGGCACAACACGTGGTAGGGATGCCATCAATTGTCACTGTCTCTCGGGACTCTGACAGGCTTCAGGATCGGGAAAAGTACGAAGCCAAAAGTGTGGGTAATCAGCCACTGACTGAGAGGGTCAGCCATTGACTGAGACTCATTTGTTGAGTTTATCCAGGTCAGCAAAATAAAAATGTTAAAAGGTCAGGATATTTATTCAGAGCATTGGCTGTATTCAAACCGAGTTGTTACACAAAGTAACCGATGTTTCTGTGGCCTCTGATGAAGGAGTTATGAGTTGGTCGGGGGGCAGAGGGAGAGGGAGAAGCAGACTCCCCACTGAGCCTGGAGCCTGACCCCAGGACTCAGATTTTGACCCCAGCCAAAGGCAAACTCCCAACCGGTTGAGCCACCCAAGCACCCCAGTAGTTGAGATTCTTCAATCTATTACTAACTGAGGAACAATAAAACCACCAAAGTCACCGTTCATTTGCTCATTCAGAAAAATATTTATTGCATACTCGTTATGTGCCAAGTTGAGCAGAAGGTGTAGAGGTACAAGGCCTGGCCAGGTCGTCAGGAAGTGAGGTGTATAATTGTGTCAGTGTCCCCAAGTGCTCTAAGAGAGGCCTGCTTGGGGGTCGATGAAGAATTGAAGGAGAGTCACTGGGCTTAAGGAGGAAAGAAAAGTCTTCCCAGGCAGCAGAGTGGGAGCAGAAGGAACTGGGTGGGCAGGCATGCCAGTGTGCATGGGAGCCTCCTGAGGGAGAGCAGCGTGCCAGGTGGAGAAGCACACAGCTCCACTGGACTTGGAAGCAAGAGGCAGAGGAGGCCAGCCAGAGAGGGGGCTGACAAGGCCCCACTGGGCAGCTTGGGGAGCCCTGAAGGCTCTGTGAAGGGGGTTTCATCTCTGAGGCAGTGAGAGCCACCAAACAGGGTCTCAGTAATAGGGTGATGTTTAGAAGGTAGGTGAGATTGATCTGTTGTGTGGTCGAGAAGGTGGCCGTCAGAGCAGGAGGGTATCTGGAATGCCTCCCAGCCAGAGCATGGGATATAAGGGCAGTTTAGGACCTGCAGAGTTTGAGGCGTGTTGGGACATCTGGGTTGTTGTGAGAGATAAGCAGTTCGGTATCCAGTGGTAGCTCCAGAGTGTGAAGAATTTCCAAAAGCATAACTGAACCAGAGACTGAATGGGCACAGGAGAGGGAGAGACACTTGACACACCAGAGAAATTTCTAGTGGCTGTGAACAGACTTCAGCTGGGTTCCCCACCATGACATTCACTGTGGGACAGACCAGGTGGTGCAGCCCTGAACCCGATGTCATTTGGGGAGTCCTCTTTAAGAAATTAATGAGCAATCTGCCCGTGAAATAAGAACAGGCGTTTGCAAGGGCTGGACGAGGAAAAGATGCCTGAGTTTCATTAGCTGGAGGAGGATTCTTGTCTGCAAAGATGCGGGGTGGAACCCACAGGAAACCAGACCTAAACTGGAGCCATGGTAGGAACGCAGCAGGGAACTCTTCCCTCTCCTCACTCCCAACATCAGCAAGTTCGGAAGAGAACGTCTGTTCTGCTGCCTGCCGAAGCGGAGTGACACAGAAAGTGCCCGAAGTCAGTCTCCAGAGTTCCGGACAGGTGCTGCTTTGTCTCCGTGAATATTGGAAACTCACAGGAAGCTGACCATGCAGGGGCCGCAGCCGTGCCACTCCACTCATGACTGTCTCTGAGGGGCCATTTCCCCATTCCCCCCAGGCCTGCTGGAGTCAGGACCCCTGGAGTTAGGACTTGCAGCCCTCTGCACTTCCTGGCCCAGCTCTGGGAAGGTCAGCCCGCTTGGCAGGTGTGTCTGGCAGTACCTCCATGCGTGGAGAGCCCAGGCTCAAGGCGGGGCCAGCTCCTTGGAAGGGTGGCCTTCCAGCAGCACCACCACTCTTGCTCAGGGCCCAGGCGGAGCTCCACCTCGGTGGGCCCCCAGCGCTGCTCAGGAGACTGGGAGTGGCACCCAGTTCAGCGCACCTGGAGGCCCTTCTGCAGCAAGAGCTGCACCTCCAGCCGGGGCAGAGCTAGCCTGACACTCTGACCCAGTGCCAGCAGCTCCATCACACGCAGCGCTATTCTAAGAGCCAACATTCAAGTAGAGGCAGTGACAGGCTGAGCCTGCTGCCTTTTCTTCGGAGGGCCCGGAGGCATCCTCTGGTATGCATCAGCAAGCCATCAACACAGCCGGAGGAACTCAGAGGCTGCCTGTGGGAACGTACTCAAGTGTTTCCATATGATCCACCGAAAAGGAGGGTGGCGGGTAGCTGATCTCTGTCCAGAAATGGGCGGGACCCTGGCTCATTCTAGCGTCTCTGTTGGGTGCACTTTGCCATTGTGGTCACAGAGTCTCCCTAAATTGCTTAATTGTCACTCTGAGACCCTGGTGGCTTTGGGGGACAGGGAGTAAAGCAGAGTCCCTCACAGGTGGAGGAGAGAGAACATGGAAGTCCTTTCCTAATGACACGCTCCTACTGCCACCTGAACCTTCTAACAGATGGGCTCCGGCTTGCAGATGCACAACCCCCGACACAAGCCACTCCTGTTTATCAGGAGAAAACCCGCTTCTTTGTCCTCAGGGCGCATGTGTCAGGAGCAGCTAGACACGTGGGGACACCTGAAAATGGTGTTTTGGCTTTTGTGTATGTTCAGAAGCTCAAAGCCAACTTCAGAAGTATTTTTTCTTAAATTTTTAAGATGTTATTTATTTTGAGAGTGAGAGCACACACGTGAGTGGGGGCGGAGAGGCAGAGGGAGATAAGCTCCAGCAGACTCCCTGCTGAGCATCCGTCCCAGGACCCCGAGATCACGGCCCGCGCCGAAGCCAAGAGTTAGAGGCTCAACCAACTGCACCACCCGGGTTGCCCCCAGAAGTATTTTAGAACTGCATCTGCAGAAGAATACCCCACCAAAAACTAAAAAATCCACAAAAAGAACGAAATCAAAATAGGAATCTATACTACATACACGTATCCGAGAACATGAGCCCTTGCCTGCACGCATGAGCTCCTTTGAGAAGCTTAGGGAGCACCCCAAACAGTATCCAACGCTACGGATCCACATCTGTGATAAACTCTCAAATACTCTGCTACGTCCTCAGCAAATCCTTCTGCTTCTCCCCTTTCCCTAGCTGCGTTGTAGTTCCCTCCCACCCTGTACCCGCCTCCCCACACCTGAACTCCGGGATGTTCCTATGCAATACTGTGTGACGCTTGGAAACCTCCCTGTGGTTGCCTCAGCTCGCCTATCTCCTCCTCTCCTCTCTCCTTATGGTTGGACAGTTCTCATA